GGGGTTTCTCATACCCAGGCTCAATTATTTTCTTCTTGCAATTCAAGAAAGGAGAACAAATGCACACACACAAAAAGGTATGTGTGTAGAAATCTCCACTCTTCATTGATATGGCCCTCCAAAAAGAGTATTATAGGAAAAGTCACTTCTCTCTCCTATTAGATACTAGCAGTTAAAGAAGGCTTTTAAAATAATCAACACTTGAACAAGATTGCTTATTTTTTGCACCAGTTTACCCAAGCAATCAGGAAAATGAACAGGTTTCCCATGTGCTGCATGCACTTCTGCTCTCAGGGGTACAGTTATACAGTAAGAAATACTGGCATTGTATCTCATAATTCTGTAAAGTTAAAATGTTAATAATGTGTCTCATTGTTTTCATTCATTATTTGTTCAATTTTTTGTTCAATAAATTTGTTCAAATTTACCAACGCACAGATCACTAGATGTTAAATGTACTTTGGAATAGATCAGCACAAATGAACATCAACATAAAAAGCTCTTTTCAGTATCTCAGACTTACACATTTTCAGTTCAATGTGTGTCTGTGCATGTGAAAGTCCAAGCACCTTTATGAGAGCTTAATTTGATAAACAAAGAAAAAAAAATTCCAAGGAAATTCTAGTAGGTTAAAAAAAAATAAAAAAAAATAAAAAAAAGGAAAAACCTGGTATTACAGTCCACATGGCAGGTAATTGTTTTTAAGAAGTTACATTGAAGTAGAACGCATGAAGTCATTGGACTCCATATATTAAGCAGACTATTGATAAGAATGTAGTAAAAGGATTGCCAGAAGTCTCTTCATCAGCAGTTGAAGCACTAGGAATCAAATCAGTGTGGTATGTGAATCAGAATCACACGTTAAATAGTACAGAACAGAGAAAATCAACATAGCATCAGAAAGGTAGCAGCAAAATTAAATCAGAAGAACTACTGAAATGTAAAGACTAGATATTACTAAGACGTGAGATTAGTATTAGAGATTCTCTGATTGCTCAATGGCCTATGTACCCAAACCTAACAATACAAACAGAGTAGAAGTGACAGGCATCCTATCCATACTTAAACAGTATATACATACAGGTTCTGGTTTTGCTGCAAATTTACATACCACTGTGTAGGAAACAAATTTAAAGTTACACAAGCAGATCACAAACTTATGTCCCTATCTTCCCTAAATACAGCCTAATATTTGTCATGTCTTTTTTGTTAACTCCAATGATCACTTCAGCAGATTCTATAGCATTCCACTAGACCAAGTTCCACATATTTTCTACAAAGCAGTACTAATAGAAGGTTATATAATAGTGGCTCAAGTTCTGCGGTCTGTGGATTACTCCCTTTCCAAGAGAAACAGGCAATAATCTACTGCTGAATGAGGCATGTATTAAAAAGAAATGTGCAATACTATACAGAAGCCACATAGAAAATTAACACTAGTAGCAAAACAAAGCATTCAAAACTAGGAAGCACTAGACAGACAAATGATATGATCAAATGCTCTTCCCCCCTCCCCCCGCCCACAATCTCATGGATAATCAGTTATGAGATTAAAGTTTAATACAGCAAACTTCTCACTGCTCTGAAGGCTTCTATGAGACATCCATTCTAGTGCTCTTGAATACAGGGGTCATTGCATATTTCAAGGTGAAAATATCGAATTTTAGAGATATGATAGTTAAAACACCAAATATCTAATCTCAACATCACCATCTCCAAACTTTACATAGCACTTTTAATAATCAATGAACAGCAGCTTTGTTTCCAGCTGGAGCCGTCAGTGCTTTGTACTTCAGCAAAAGATCACATTAAGTGCCTGAACCTTGGCAACTCTTTAAAATGCCTATTCGTGATCAACTATAAAAACATCTTGATTAGATGACTGTTTCTGTATCATCCACCACACAGTAACTCTGGGGGAGTCCAAGAGGGCTGCTCTACTATGGAAGAGCTTATAAGGGCCTTGGTTATCTCAGCTGTCTTAGGTAGAAATTCAGTCTCAAGTTAGCTGATGTAATCCTCCTGGAAAAACAGCAGTTTTCCCTTTAGGTCTCACACTTACAATTACTGCACACGCCAAACAGATCCAGTTGCATTTCACCTCTAGTGTCTCGGTATTTCAGGAAAAAGCTAGCATTTCTCAAACATTCAAAACAAAAAAACAGACAAAAAACCAGCTACCCAAAACCCCACAATACACACTTTAAAACCTTCATTTACTCCATGACAGCTTGACAGTAATATGGCAGTCATTTCAACTCTGTGAAACCCTTTGGCAGCTGAGAAAACTATCCTCACTAGCTGCTCATTATGTTGCTTTACAAACTAGAACACTTCCACACAAAATACTGAGTGAGTGTTACCCTGCAAACATGTAAAAGTATATTGTTAAATCTGAAAAAAGATCGGAAGCAATTACATGCTCCTAGCCACACATCCCTCTCTGACAAGTCATTCAGACGCACTAGCTAAAATCTTCCACTATCATTACTGACTCTAAGAAAATAAAAGACACTATTCAAGTTATGCTTCAATTTTAGGTGGGTTTTTTTTTGTTTCCTCTGCCTTGTTTGTTTGTTTGCAACAGAATTTAAGATTATGCCTTCAAAATATGAAGCTGTAGTAGTATGGACAAAGTATACTTATTTGGAACCCATCAATAGATGGTAGGTCCATATGGTACTTCTGTGTGTCATCAAATGCAAATAAGGAAGCTTTTTTCTTTTCTTTTTTTTTTTTTTTTAAATACAGTTACTGGTAAAGAAAGAATGTGAGAAAACAGCTACAGCAATTTATGATGGAAGACACTGTGAGATTTTGATTTGATTTGTTTTTTTTTAATGCCATATTAACATACATAATAACATTTTTTCTGCGACTGAAGACATCATTAACCATTTTGTATTGTAAATAAAAAGTCACAATATTAAGCTTCAAAGAGGTTGTTAAGGCTTGAGAGGCATGTATTTTAAGTGAGATGTTTCAAAAGCAGATCAGAGAATATGAAGCAGAAATAGTCAGTTCAGAATCAGCTTTAGAGAATGCTAAGACAGTAAGAAAAGTCACTGTTATCATTTGGAACACACAAAAACAAATGTATCTAAATTCCAGACCTCAGCTAGAATCCAGTACCACATGCATGTCTAGCATCTTAAGCAGCAAATCAATACAGCTCTTCACACAGAAAGCTAAGGGAGACTAAAGCCCAGCCGGCAGTCCAGAATATATTTTACTTTTTCAGTCTTCTAAAGCATCTTTATTAGGATGGAAAAGATAGAATACTAAAATGGTTAATTTCTTAAATATCTACCTCAAAATACCTGGCCTTGAGAAGCAGCTTGAAAGCTCTAAAGCACCGCACTATGAACTTTTATTTATTTTAATCAGATTTAAAAGGTGTATTTAAAAAGCAATGTCTGTCCTTGAAGTCTTGACTCTGGGTATCTATGTTTGTCTTGGATGCTCTTTAAATTTGGATTTGTGTATTTAATAACTCAAACTCTAGGTAATTAGGAATCTTATGACAAATTGCTTGATTGCCTCACAAAAGTTCTTCTCATATTGCAGTGTATTTCTACCATGCTGAATGACTGAAGTAACAACTGAAGACAGAAATTAAAAAGCGCAAAGTCTTGAAGCAGGCAGTGTCTGCTCATACTGTAACAAGATTTTTTTTAAATCTGGGCACAGATTAATAAATCATGCAACCTTAAATTTTATTGCTGTTATGTCACTAGCTTTTCAGAAACAAAAACCAACCCACCAAACAAAAAAACCAACCCCCCCCCAAAGAAGATCATAAAAAAAAATATTTTTTTTTCTATGAAATTATTTCATTTGTCAAAGTGACAGACTGAGATTCCTGAGTAGGCCTGCAGAAGTCTTCTGAAGACACTGGCTGTGTAGTTCAGCCCAAACTATTCATCAGCCTGATGTCAGATCAGCATAATTATCCATATGTCAAATCCTAAACTCACAAATAACCAATGATGCAAAGTTCACCAAACTGGCTGTTAATAATTAATAATGGAAAGAAAACCTCAAATCTTTATAATGCACTAAACATATTGTTTAAAAAGATCTCTGATAAAGAAAAAGTTGAACTCAATAGCAAGGCAACATGATGTGATTTTGTGGTCATTGTGCCTAGAATTTAATCTTTCCTACCTTCTTTTTGAAACACTGCCCTAAAGCAAAACTATTCTTTCCACAGAGAGACTAACTCTAAGAACAGTCAGGAGTTTCCTAAAAAACTTTTAAGCAGGGCAGGATAAAAAGAGGGAATTTAAGAGCAGCAGCACATCTTAGTTCAAAATATTATTTAATATCCAATACAGATTTTATTAGGAAATAGATAAAATTATGTATTTGTGGTAGAAATGCGGGTTTTTTCCAGCCAGTTCTTGAGGAAAAGAAGTAGGTTACGAACAGACTGTGCCAGAGATAATTACTCCTCTATACTTTCTAGTTCTCTAGAGTTACACATTGAAATGCTGTCTTCTCCCTCCAGACTTCTGCCTGTGCAATAACATCTAATTCTCATTCTGCAAGTCCCTTCACTCCCCAGCCACCAAGGGAAAAACTCTCTTAAACTTGCAAAAAGCTCATTGACTAAAATTCCGACAGTCAAGTACACAATCCTAGTC